TAATCGGTCAATGCTTTCCCTGATAAGTGGCACACAAGAAGGGTCAATTTTTGCCATAGGGGATGTGTTTGTAGAGGTTGATGTGGGAGCCCTAGTAGTGTCTTGTGTGGCCTCAGGGATATCGGTGGTTGTATCAGAAACTTCATTACTTTCGGATGCCAAGCCTGGGTTGGCCAATCCGGTACCACTAATATTCCTGAGGCCTTTTTGTCGTCTTGTATTTTCTTGAGTATATGTGGTACTAAACTAGAAGGAGGGAATGCATAGAAATCTAAATTAGTGCGTCAATGGCGAATGCTCCGGGGTCCGGGCGATAAGAGGCGTATATCGATAACTGGGTGTTGATGCGAGACCCAAATAAATCAATTTGCGGAGTGACCTCGAGGTCGTGTAGTGCCTCTTTTAGCATCTCTGGGTTTAGTTTCCACTCATGCGTAGAGCGGTTATCGCCAGACTCAAAATCTGCCCTTGTGTTGAGTTGGGTCGGTCTTGTTGCAAAGAGAATCGCATAGGGATTCTACTTTCCTTATTTTTTCTTCTGTCAGAGTTACTGTCATGGTAACTGAATTAATGTTAAATCCCAAGAATACTATTTGTTGACTTGGATTGAAAATTGATTTGTCCGGGTGAATATAAAACCCAAGAGACTGTAAAATATCACAGGTATCAACGACGTTTTTGGCGCAGTCCTGATACGTGTCCCCCTGCAGGAAGAAGTCATCAATGTACCCGAGTACAATATGTCTCATGCGATGTAAGGTAGCAAGGGGAGGTTTTAGCAATTTCGTAAATGATCTTGGCGCACAAGACAGTCCATTAGGCATGCATGTGTACTGATAGAGTTTATTTTTCCACATGAACCTCAGGTATTTCCTGTGTTTGTTCGCTATTCTGACAGAATAATAGGCATCTTTCAGATCAATAGATGCCATGAAGCAATTGCGGTGAACGAGTTTTAGCACGGTATGCAAAGTATCCATTTTAAAATGAACTTTTGGTGAGAATTGGTTAAGGTTCTTGAGATTAAGTATAAGACTGTGGCTTCCGTCTTTTTTAGGTCGAACGAAAATGGGAGAGATTATCTCACCATTATCATGCCCGGTGGGCTCTATGACCTGTTTTTTCTGCAATTTCTAAAGTTCATTGTCTATGACTAATTGTTCTTTTGTTCTAAAATTGGGAGTGTAATCTAGGCGTTGCTGTGGCTTTCCGTCAAATACTATTTTAAGCCCAGCGACACACCTAAGTATTTCTCTATCCGAGGTAAGATCTTTCCAGCTATGCAGATAATGTGTTTTCCGGCGACAAATGTCTCACAATTCTTTGCAAAGCACGTTCTCAACCCGGTAATGTGATTGCAAAAAGCTGAATTAATATCTAAATTATGATCTAAAATCTGAAAGGATTTTCTTACCTGGTATTATTTCGTGTCGTCCCCCTTTCGTGTGTGTCGAGGTTTTTTCTTGTACTGGCTTTTGTGGCTCTTGGATAAAAAAGAGCGTTTGTAAAAATTTGGGGAGCGATAGGAGTCCGAGTGTGGCCGTTTTTGCGCTCTGTGCCGGTCATTCTTTGATTGGCCCACCGTAGCACCAATTTTTGTGGCCTCTTTAGCGTCCCTGATTTGCTTTGCCAGGTCATCGCCAAACAGGAGGGCGTTTGGCTCTTCCATTTCCTTAGAGCAGAGTGAGTGAAATTCGCTTTTGAGCGCACGTTTCATCTGCTCCTTTCTTATCCCCGACAAGTCGGAAAAAATATGGCTTAGGAGGCCAATGGTATCACTTGCTTTTGTTCGTCCTTATGAACGTCGAGCCGCAGGACTTTGTTGCACATTGCCAGCACTGCTGAGGTCGCTTTAAGCACTGTCTTTTGCAAGTTGTTTAGCCGGAGGTCGTTTGTGCGGCGGTGGGAGTTGAGTTGGCTCCAAATTTCACCGTTAACCTTTGGGACCACCATCTTTGCACAGTTCTCTGGAACTTGATGCGCCTCCAGTAGGCTCTCTAGTTTATCCGTAGATAACTTTTCCCCCCATCTTTTCAGGGTTATATCAGCCAATTTCGTCGTCATCAATAGATGCCAATAATTCGCTCAGAAGGCTTTCTGAAGGGCTTTTGATGGTCGATTTATCTCCCGTAGAGCCATCATTGCTTTTTACAAGCTGGTCTAGGTCATCCTCCGAAGCGTGTACGCTCATAGCTTCATCATCAGACTCCTCAGAGCTTGATGAGGGTATGCTCGGCTTTCGTGATAGAAGTTGGGTACTCGCGTTTGCTTTCCCGCCATTATTGCCCAGTGGGCTCGGTAGGCCGGTGGCCTGTGGATCGCGATAATCTAGCGTTTGACAGAGCCTCATCATAAGGTCTGTCATGCTGCCCATTTTGGCGTTCATCGCAGCCAGAGTGCGATCTCAGGTAGCCGGTGGCTGACTTGTTCCCTGTGGGGAATCCTCGTTCTCGGCGTTGGCTGACACGATGGTAACGGCAGGCTCGATGTGTTGCTCGGTCATATTTCCCTGTTTTCTGAAAAAGAACTTCCTCGAAAGAATAACTGTTAAGCTATTGTAAAATATACTCACGAACAGACGTTTGCTATCTGGAGTACGTATAATATGTTCAAGTAAAGATGTGTTTGAAATAATTTACACACGTTTTAGAGAGCTTGTAAAACGATGTTTGCTGACCTTAAGCAAGGAATGCAATGACCAATAGAG